CTGGGATATCTTGCCAACCTCAACCAACACCCATTTACACACACCCTTTCTTTCAACCAATTCCTATACAGCTGCCAAAACACTGGGCATGTGGTCACCTTGCAATTTATTTAACAGCAAAGTTAACAAAATAAAAATTTTCACCTTTTTGCCATCTAACAGGAAAGGCAATTCCACAGACTGATCGGTGTATGCTTAATTCATGGATGAATGTTAAGAAAATACTTTCTGGGGCACCTGAGTGGCTCAATCAGGTAAGCTGAGCTGATCTTGGTTTCCGCTCAGGTCACAGTCTTGGGGTCGTGGGATCAAACGCTGTGTCAGGGAGTCTGCTTGAGATTCCCTTTCGCTCTTCCTCCTCCTTCTGCTCCCCCACCCCCGCAACATGCTCTCTCTCAATAAATAAAATCTGTTTAAAAAAAGGAAAAAAAGAAGAAAGAAAATGCTTTCTGAATCCTTATGAGCCTCTAACAGTGGTGAGCAGGGCCTTTAAAATTTTAAATTTTAAATTTTTAGGGCCTTTAAAATTCCTGTGTTTTCCCATTACCCTTAGGATAGCACCAGGATCCTTAGCCAGATGTGCAGGCAGCAAGTAGTGGAAACACCGTGTGTGCTGGAGCCAAAGGGATCTGGGTTTCAACCTTGGCTCTTCCACTTCTTACTGTGCAACTTAGGGCAGTCACTGTGAACTCAAAGCGGCATTAATGTGAAAACTAAGTAAGACAGTACATACAACTCAGAGGCCACTACTCGTTTCCACAGTTATCTACTTTCTTACCTTCAGATCCTAATTTCCACTCAATGTCCTGTCTCCCTGTATAGTGTCATGTGCCTGTCTTAAAATGATGCAGGTATTAATTCAGTGAATTTGTCTCTGGAGAAAATAAATCACAATGGCAGTGTCTATTTTTCATATTGGACTGGCTAATTTTGTAAGATCCTCTACAAAGCCCCAGACACTACCTTGCTTGAGATCCGCCCCACACTTGCTAGTTACTTTTTTTTTTTTTAAGATTTTATTTATTTATTGGCCAGAAAGAGAGAGCACAAACAGAGGAAATGACAGGCAGAGGGAAAGAAGTAGGCTCCCGTTGAGCAGAGAGCCCAATGCGGGACCCAATCCCAGGACCCCGAGACCATGACCCGAGCCGAAGGCGGAGGCCCAACCCTCTGAGCCACCCAGGTGCCCCGCTAGTTACTTTTAATATGAAGCTTCACTAGCTATGTAATTGGGGGCAAATTACCTAAAATTTCCAAACTCTAGTTTCCTTAAACATACGGGTGAGAAAATGTTCCTCATAGGGCTATAGGTAGAAATAATCTATTGTATTAAAGGGCTTAGCAGATTGGTTACCTTGTATTAAGCTGTCTATAAATGAAGATGAATTATAAAATCAGCAAATACTACTACTGTTATTAGCTTTCACTTGAAGCTGCGGATTTTCTCGGATTTCCCAGAAATTCCTGTTCTGAATATTTTCAAAAAAAAGCAATTTTACTGAAGTAAAACTTACATACAACAAACTGGATCCACTTCAAATGTATAGTGTGATGAGTGTGGAGGCCAAGAAAAACAAGGCTGTACCCACCTCGAGTCTAGCCCAATTTCCAGAGACAAATAACTCAGTTCCTTAAGCCCTAATGTTACCCTCCCCTCCATAATCAAAACTGAAGGAGGCTGAGGTAGAAGGAAAAGTAAATAAAGTTAAACTTCTTCTAAACCCAAATCTCACTAACAAGGACGCGTGATAGCAAGAATGTGACATTCCACCAGGAAACTCCCAATTGTCTTCATGCTAGTGCCTCATTAAAGGGAAAAACGGCCTTGGCTTGATAGTAACCAGGCCTTCAAAATCCTGACAGTCTTCTTTACCCTGATAGCCCTTCTGAACAACCCCCTTGTCCTCCTCACCCACCGCCGAGTCCACCCCTACTCAGCTTTTAAAAACTCGGACTGTAATCTGGCTCGGGGTCCAAGTCCCTACTCCGCTGTGTCGGGTATACTTGGGCCCAGGCTTAAGCTTGTCAAATAAACCCTTGTGTGATTCCATCGGTGCTTGGCTCCTTGGTGGTCTCTCGGACGCAAAAACTCGGGCATAACAATGAGTTTAACAGACAAGGGCAGTCATGGAACCAGCACCAGTCAAGACACAGATCATCCTTGGCGGTTCCCTGGCGGTCCCATCTGCTGTCCGTTCTCTCCCATCCCAGACCACCAGCAACCTCTGAGTTATCTGCTGTCGAATTCCCTTATTAAGGTTCTAGTAGTTTATCTGTATATGAAAACTTTGGAAGAGAAAATATTTCCTAACTGAAGAGACTGTTTTCCTGATCCTAGAAGTGATATGTATTTGTTGAGGAGACTTTGGAAAAAGTAGAAAAGTACAAAAAAGAAAGAAAGGACGAAAGAAGGAGAAAGAGAAAAAAAGTAGGTTAACTGTTACTAATCTTTTGGGAAAAATTTCCTTAAGAGTTTTGAGCAAGATCCATTTATTTACAATTCATTTATTTTTACATCTGAGTTTACTCCATATTAACACTTATTTATCATGCTTTCTTCAAAACACATGACAGCATCAACATTTCTGTTAACTTTGTCTGCATAATTTTAATGTCTGCATAATATTCCATGACAATGGATATGCTATAAATAACCATTTTGCTACTATACATTTTATACTGCAAATTTCTGGACTATTATAAGTAATATTTCAGTGATCATCCACAGACATTTCTCTCTTCCTACACTCCTTAGTGTGTTAGTGTTAGTAATAGTAGTAGTAGCTAACACATACAGTACTTGCGTGCCAGGCACTGTTTTAAATACTTTATACACATTATCTCACTTAATCCATGCAACAACCTTCTGAGGTAGGTACTAGAAGTACCTCCATTACACAGTTGAGGAAAATTGAGCCACAGGTTAACAGAAACCAAGCTAAGGGGCTACTCTTCCACTCCCATAAAGAACCGCTGCTTATCATGAAAACTCCTGACAGGAGCGTATTATACGTATCACTGGTATAAATGCACCAAGGACAGCAGTAGTAACTGAGGGACCAGAGGTCTAGTTCTGGGCCTGACTTCACTCAAAATGTAAGACCTGCACCAACTCACCTTTTCTCAACTGTATGATGAAGAGTACGAGTTAGATGGTCTTATGTTCCCTGTGGATCCCAAGTCTCATGACACTAGCAATCATTTCTAGATCTTTCCTGCGAGACAGACATCAAGATCTTTGTCCTCTTGCTCTCAAAAATATTTAGCTTTCAACCCTCAATCATTAAGCACCTAAGATATATCCTGTTATATGCAAATGGAAGATAATGGCTAGTCCCTACACACAGGAGATCCATTTACAGAATGAAAGAATTTAAACAAGTTCTCTTGCTAGCATGAACTTTTTAGCATGAACTTTTAGCATGAACTTACCACAGAATCTGAAGATTAGGCTCCTCTCCCTAGAAAAGAAAACCTCTCTACAAACAAGATGATTTTGCATACAATACTACAAGTTGTTTACTGCTCCTCAGAAATGAGTCTACACACCCACTACAGGCAGGGCTTTCCTCAGGCTAAGGGCTGACGGAGATAAGAGGGAAATATGTGGCTGGGAGGGAAGCGAGAGCACTATGAGCTCTTACACTCAGGCAGGTTAAAGTTCAATGGCACACACCACGGTGGGGCCAGGACAGCAACACCAAGCACCATAGCTAGCAATCATAAAGCACTTAATATACATCAGGCATTGTTCTAAGCTGCTTATGTGTTTACCCACTTAATACCCACCACATCCTACCAGGTAAGTAATATCCCTAATTTACAGCAGCAGATTCTGTAAGTTAGGCACAGAGACATTAGGCAGCATGCCAGAGCTCACTCAGCAAGATAAGGACAGAGGTGAAATTTCAACTTGGGTAGTCTACCTCAAGCTTATGCTATTTAACCACTATGTTCCCTTTATAAAGATGAAGGACTACCTTGGAAGGAGGGGGCTTTGGGCAGAGCTGTTTATTTCATGATCATAGTTGCTCTAAGTATGGCCCAAGTACCTGCTCCCGCTCAAATGGGGACCTTCCCTGGTGTGCTCAAATACCTAATCTTCCTCTAGATCCCAATGTCCACAGAATCACTGTTTCTAAATTCCCAGAAGCATTTAGCACCCTGTCTCAAAGAGTGCAACTCTAACTATGTCCCAGAACAACACAGAATGGGAAAGTCTGCTAACAGATGATTCTAGAGCATCCCTGATGATAGACTAGAGAAGCTGGATATCCTTTTCTTACTATTTAAAAATATCTTCAAATAATTATCAGAGTAACATGGAATAAACTATAAAACTCACTCAATCCCATTACCTAACAAATCATTCCTGGTCATTTATCCATGAATACTTTTCCAATTCTTGCCCCCATGCAAATATATTTAAAGTAAGTACCATTACTAGTAAATGTGTTCTTTTTCTGCTTTACATTATAAACATTTTCCCTGCTGCTAACCAAAATGTGGTTTAAATCAGACACATAAAACAGAGTAAACACTACTAAATATCCCAGAAGAGGACAATTAAGTAAAAAAAGGGGAGGGGGGCGCTGGAATACTATTTTTCCACTTTTGTGTATCAATTTTTGTGTATCAATTTTTTTATTCGTTGCAGTAGCAACACTCATTGATTTACCTTTTTGAAGAAGGTAACAAAGTTGGTTAATCTCTCAACAACTCACCTAATTAATGGTTTCCTCTCAGATTTTAGCATTTTAAGGCTTGATCAAGAATGCTCCAAGGAGGGGCGCCTGGGTGGCTCAGTGGGTTAAAGCCTCTGCCTTCGGCTCAGGTCATGATCCCAGGGTCCTGGGATCAAGCCCCACGTCCGGCTCTCTGCTCAGCAGTGAGCCTGCTTCCCTTCCTCTCTCTCTGCCTGCCTCTCTGCCTACCTGTGATCTCTGTCAAATAAATAAAAATAAAATCTTAAAAAAAAAAAAAAAGAATGCTCCAAGGATAACTGCTTTTGTAGGAATTTGTGGAAAGAAAGGCTGATGTACTTGTGTACTAAAATGAAATCTGTGGGTTAGTTCCCCTTCTAGGACCAGTTCTCTAGTGCACAAAAGGATAACAAGACTGACAGCATTTCTGCACAGATTACATCTACACAGCTTCTTTCCAGAGTTTCCAATGCAAAATAAAGTTATTGCTCTTTGTAAAGAACTCTCCACATTCACTATACTAATAAGCATTTCCTCTAATATGACTGGTCTGGTATCGAGCAAGGTTAGGGCTACTGACGAGCGCTGTCCCACACTGGTTACATGTTGAGAACTGCTCTCCAGTGTGGGCTATCTGATGTACGATCAGTGGAGAGTTCTGGCTGAAGATAATCCCACACTGATTACACTTATAGGTCTCTTCCCCAACATGAACCCTCTGATGCTTAATAAGGTCGTTCTTCCGGATGAAGGCTTTTCCACACTGGCAACATTCATATGGCTTTTCTCCAGTATGAATTCTTTGATGCACAATGAGGGCAGAACTCTGGCTGAAAGATTTCCCGCAATCGTGGCATTCATATGGTTTCTCTCCAGTGTGGGTTCTCTGATGGGAGAACAGGTGAGAGCTTCTACTGAAGCATTTCCCACAGTCTTTACACTCGAAGGGCTTCAGTCCCGTGTGAGTTCTGTGGTGCACCACAAGGTGAGATCTCTGGCTGTAAGATTTCCCACACTCATTACATTCATAGGGCCTCACTCTCACGTGAGTTCTCTGATGCAGAATGAGATGTGTGCTCTGTCTGAAAGACTTCCCACACTCAGGACATTCATAAGGTTTCTCTCCAGTATGAGTTCTCTGGTGCCTAATAAGCCTGGAACTGTGAACAAAAGATTTCCCACACTGGCTACACGTGTACAGTTTGTCTCCTGTGTGAGTTCTCTGATGCGTGACAAGGTGAGAAAACCAGCTGAAGGACTTTCCACACTCTTTACATTCATAGGGTTCTTCACCAGTGTGAGTCTTCTGATGTCCAATGAGGTGAGAACTCCGGCTGAAAGATTTTCCACATTCTTTACACTCATAGGGTTTTTCTCCAGTATGAATAAGCCGGTGCCTGGTAAGATTAGAGCGCCAGCTGAAGAATTTTCCACACTCCTTACATTCATAGGGTTTCTCCCTATGTACACCCTTTGATATACCAAGGGATGTACCACCGGTAAGAGAGTTCACAGGATCAGGGCATTTGTAGGACTTATCTCCTGGCTGGGTTCTTGCAAACTGAATAAGGTGAATGTTTTGACAGAAGGTTGGACCACATTCACTGCTACCTGCATAGCTTTCCTGCTGACCGCTAAAAACTAAATTCTGTTTTAAACTTTTAGTATGTGAGTCATGTTTGTGGAAATATTCTCTCAGTACCAGCTGGGTAGGAAGAAGACAGTTTCCCCCATATTTACCATTTTCACAGACTCTCTCCTGAGTAAGTACTTTCTTTTGGGTGAATGCCACTTGCCTCAAATGTCTCTCCTGGTTTTCCTGATACTTGTCCAACTGGTCTTCACATCTCCAGACTTCTTCTAATGACAAGTACCAGAGATCATTTTTTGCAATTCCTTCCATTTTAATGCCACAGGACTGTTTACTTTTAGAAATGCTCTTACTGGAAATTGATTTAATTTCAACTGCAGTCTCCAAATCTGGAAGAAAAAAAAAAAAAAAGGAGAGAGAGAGAGAGAAGCCTCTGAGTAAGTAAAACAACATTGAGGTCTGATTGGTGGGATGTGGAAACAAGTATGTAGGCCATATAGAGCTGCCTTCATGGACAGTGAGAAAGGGCAGAAAAGAGCAGCAAACAGGGAAGGCACTGGGCTGTGTAAGAGCAGCAATGAGAGCAAAAAGACACAGTACTGGGTAGGACACATGGGATCAGACATTCAGTGCTGCGGGGCAACAGGGAAATCCCACAGAAAGGCCTACACTCCCATGATCTGATCTACTAATGACACAAGAACCTTACATGACTGACTGTTGTCAGGTCCTTCTCCTGGTGTTGGGGTCCATTCCACGTTAAAACATGTTAACCCCCTAGGGCCTGCCTGGGCCTACTTAGCCATAATGACTCCGTGTTGCCTAGGTAGACATTTTGTTGTTTAATAAATGCCTCAACAGTTACTGATATCAGCTCCAGGTAACTGTTACTAAAACACACACCTAAAACAAGGCCATTTTGTTTATATCCGTTCCAGGTAACTATTACTAAAACACATACCAAAAACAAGGCCATTTTGTTGTTTAATAAACGCCTCAACAGTTACTAGTATCGGTTCCAGGTAACCGTTACTAAAACACACAGGTAGGAGACATCCAATCAGCCAAAGCCATGTATGTAGATGCCTGCGATTGTGCCCTATAAAAACTAGCCTGTAAGACCAAGGGGCGTCGCTCTCTTCAGAGGCGGCCCTGGCCGGTCAGTCTGACTTCTAATGTTTGGCATAGAATAGACTTTGCGTAACTTTGTCTCAGTCTCGTTCCTTTGATAACGGAACCAACACTGGCATGCATTCTTCCCAGCTACAGCCAATCTCACATTCCTAAGCCATGAGTCCAATCATATGCTGAGCCACTCCCTGTTCTTGACACCACTAAAGGACTACAGAATAATGTCCAGATAACTGGCACAGGAACCCCTCAGAAAGGCCGTGCAGCAGGTTGGAAAAGCAAATGGATATACAGGTTCTAAAGCTTTAATTTCAAGTTTAAAGCTTTAATTTCAAGTTTAAAGCTTTAGTGCTACTAGTGGTGAATTTAGACAAGTTGTTAAACTTTTCAAATATTACTTTGCTTATCTGTAATCCAAGAGACACAGTATTTGTGGTGTAAGATTATTATGAAGTATTATAAGATGTGAGTTCGTCACAGACTCACACATGTATGGTCAAAGCAATACCACAGTAATCATTATTAATATTCTCCTGGTCTTGTATTTTGATTCCTTTGTTGTGAAACATCAAGACTTAACAACTGGGACCCCTGGGTGGCTTAGTCAGTTAAGCGTCTGCCTTCAGCTTTGGTCATGATCTCAGGGTCCTAGGACCGAGCCCCATACTGAGTGGCCTGTTTCTCCCTCTGCCCTCTCCCCTATTCACATTCTCTTTTTCTCTATCCCAAATAAATAAATAAAATCTTTAAAAAGAAAAAGGACTTAACAACTGATAGGTACTCGTACCACAGGATACTATATCACAACCTAGCCCCTAACTCATATTCTCCTGGACTTTCCTGCCCTTTTGCGTATATCTGTGTGTATTATTGCACATTATTTCTCCTAGTTAAAAGCTTGTTTGTCTCTCAATGCCTTTTAGGTAAAATGTTAGGTTCTTAAGATTTTATTTATTAAAGAACACGCATGCACAAAAGCGGGCAGGGGCAACAGGCAGAGGGAGAGGGAGAAGCAGGCTCCCCACAGAGCAGGGAGCCCAATGCAGGACTCAGTCCCAGGACCCTGGGATCACAACCTGAGCTGAAGGCAGATGCTTAACTGACTGAGCCACCGAGGAGCCAAAAATGTTAGGTCTTAACCTGGGGGGGGGGGGGAAGCCATGTTTTTTAAATGATCAATATGCCTAACATGGGGCTTGAATCCACAACCCCAACTTCAAGAGCTGCATGCTCCATCGACTGAGCCAGCTGGGCACTTCTGAAAAACACTCTCTACAAAGTACCACCACTCCTACAAAGTACCATCACTCACTACAAGTGAGGTGATATTCTATTCTTACCTGGAATGTGGGTGAATTTTGTGCCCCAAATAAGACACATTGAAGTCCTAACCTCCAAGATCTCAGAATGCAACCTTATTTGGAAACAGGATCATTGGCAGATGTCGTTAGTTAAATGAAGCAGTACTGGTGCAGACTGGGCCCTCCCATCCAATATGAATGGTGTCCTTACAAGAGGAGAGGAGACACAAAGACGCACTGGGAAGACAGCCATGTGCAGGGGGGGCGCTGACTGGAATGATGTGCTCATAAGCCACAGAACACCTAGGACTCCCAGAGCCACGAGAGACCAAGAAGGATCTTCTCCTAAGGGCAGCAGAGGGCATGTGGCCCTACTGACACCTTGATCTCAGATTTGTGACCTCTGGAGCTTTAAGAGGGCACACTTACATCACCCAGTTTGTGGAACTTTATCTCAGCAGCACCAGGAGAGTAACTCACCTGACAATGATCCCCGTGCCAGGCTCCTGACTCCTGCCTTCTTTGTGGGAACCCCATCATTCCCAATCTTCTTTTATTACTGAGTCACTAGCTTCTTCCCCAGCCTGATCTCTTTTTCTGTTCTAATCTTAAATGTTTTTGAAAGAAATTTGCGGGGGGCAGATGGAGAGGCAGAGAGAGAATCCTAAGCAGACTCCCTGCTGAGCACAGAGCCGGACACGGGGGTCAATCCCACAATCCTGAGATCATAACTTGAGCCAAAATCAAGAGTTGGACACTCAACCAACTGAGTCACCCAGGAGCCCCTTTTTTCTATTTTAAATTGTGATAGAATAGGCATAACATAAAATTTACCATCCTAACCATTTTTAAGGGCATACCTCAGGTACTCCACACATTCACATGGTAGTGCAGCTGTCCCCGCATCTCTTCTCATCTGTAGAACTGAAACTTGGTACCTCTTAAAAAGTAAGGCCCTGTTCTCCCCTCCCGCCAGTACCTGCTAAGCACCATTACACTTTGTCTTCACGATTCTGACAACTTTAGGGGTGCCTGGGTGGCTCAGTGGGTTAAGCTTCTGCCTTCGGCTCAGGTCATGATCTCAGGGTCCTGGAGTCAAGCCCCACATTGGGGTCTCTGCTCGGCAGAGAGCCTGCTTCCTCCTCCCTCCGCCTGCCTTTCTGCCTACTTGTGATCCCTGTCAAATAAATAAATAAATAAACAAGCAAACAAACAAAAAAAAAAACGATTTTGAAGACTTTAAGTAACCTCGTGTACTTGTCCTTTTGCGTCTGGCTGATTTCACTAACATCCTCAATGCTGATCCATGCTGTAGCAGATGCAGAATCTCCTTCCTTCTTAAGGCTGAACACCAGCCTGGTGCATGTGTGCGTGTGCACTGCCATCATGATTTCAGACAGGAAATACACCATCCTTTCCCTCTCTTCCCCTCCACTCAAGGCATCAAAATCCCATGGAAAGTTCTGCAAACCACAAATGCCAACTGGAAAATTTTAAAATGAACACGTGTGAGGAAGAGTGAGGGCTGGGTACCAAAGGAGAACAACCCTGAGTGGCATGTTTAAACATATGAACATGCTGCTTTCCTTCATCAATCCTAATCCACGTATTATGTAGTACAACACTCGAGTGAGTAATACTTAAAACATACAATATCCATTCATCAACTCAAAATCTGCATTTTTTTAGAGATTTTATTTTAAGTAACCTCTACACCCAATGTGGGGCTTGAACCTACAACCCCAAGATTAAGAGTCACACGTTCCTCCAACTGAGCCAGCCAGCTGGCCCCGCATTTGCACTCTTAGAGCCACCACTCATTATCCTTTCCGCTTTGACCCTGAGGCTCCTGCAGCCATGTGTTTAACCACATGGAGCTTCGGTACTTCTTTTGACAACAAAGTCTCAGTAGAAATCTAAACTGCTGCTCTAGTTAGTTTTAGACAGTTGTCAAGAGAGTCTAGGAAAGCTTCCTAGATGAATGAACATAGGAATGGAAAAAATGAAAGAAATAATGAAGAAATGAAAGAAAACAGAACAATCTTTCCTCCCAAGGCCCCAAAGCCAGCTGGCTGATCAAATTCTTAACGGTGTATTGAAGGACTTGCCTTTGAGGCAGTCACCTATAAGACCAAATGTAAAACAGTAAAAAATAGTTTATGATATTTAAAAATACACTGCAAGTGGAAGCTCGGAAAAGGAAGGAACCTGCACCTGACGAGGAGCCATAAGAGGTTTCACAGAGGACAACTAGGACTGACAGACTTTATTCACATCATACTCAAAGCTCAAGATGCAGGGAAGCACCAGACACGTGTGCACGCGGACACGGGGGATCAGACAGAGGCAACACAGGTCCTCCTAGCATGACTAGGCCACACTAGAGTCACATGGAGTCACATGCCTCCCCACACACCAAGAAGGCTACCTGCAGTATGACCCAGCAGCACCCGAGATGCCTGGGGAGGAAGATGCCAGATGGCCTGAGCCAAAGGCAGAGGCTTAAACACTGAGCCACCCGGGCACCCCGACCAGCTGCTCTTCTGAGTTTGCAGAAGGCTTGCGACTTCCTGCTGGCTGAATTCCTCTCTCCAGAACTGCTGTTCCCAAAACGCCTTTTTCTTACTGTATTCTAGCTCTTTATTTCACGTTTTCTTAAGTTATTCCTACTTTGTTTTCATCTTAATATCTCTAAAATGCAAATTATGTGGATTCAGAACATCCTTTCTGCAGCCTCCCTGTGCATTGAAAATCTGCTTCCTAGAGGTTAAGAAACAGAAGGTTGAAGCAGCACCTGGGGGGCTCAGTCCACAGAGCATCTAACTTCAGCTCACATCATGATCCCAGGGTCCTGGCACTGAGCCCTGCATCAGGCTCCCTGCTCAGTAGGAAGCCTGCTTCTCCCTCTCTCACTCCCCCTGCTTGTGTTCTCTCTCTCACTGTCTTTCTGTCAAATAAATAAATAAAATCTTTAAAAAAAGAAGTCTTGAGTGTGTAATGCACTGCAAAAAAAAAAAAAAAAAAAAAAAGTAAAGAAGAAGAAGCAGGAGTGGCCGGTGACCAAGCCCTGCTGCATGGCTCACAGATGGAAGAAACAGAAAGCCACAGGGAAGGGGCCACAGGAAAGGGAAAAGGCAGGCAAGGAGGAAAGAAAAGACTGTATGACGAATGAGAGAATGGGGATGTGAGAATCAGTGTGAGAATCAGGAAAGCAAGACCAACAGAGCGGAAACCAAGCACATCAACAAAAGGTAATTTTCATGAAGAACACATCATTGTCTCCAAATGCAAATGGCGTGTGACATGACTACAGAAAACTGGTCACGGGGAAACGGAAGGTAAATAAACTCAGTGTTCTCTACAAAAATGCACACAGCTAGTGACCACTATGGCCAGGGATTCCCGCCCCTAACAGCTCATCTGGGACACTGCCTGGAATGTCTCTTGACGGGTGCTCACCTGGCTGGGTCTCCCGGTGAATCCCTCTCTCCACCAGCCACGGCTCTTCCCCTTTCTCCAACTGGAGGATCACGTGTGGTTTAGGAAGCTGATGCCCTGTGCACAGCAAAAGATAAAGAACTGGACAGGGGTTGGGGAACTCTGGGCTGGACACAAAGAGCAGCCCAGATTCAGCCCCAAGCCCTAACCCCTTCTTAGTCCTGAGGGGACTATGAAGAGTGGACAAGGGGAGGCTAAAGAGGCAACAAAATGTGCATTTTTAAAAATTCAACAAATCAAAACAAAAACACCTTTTTTTCACAAAAGCAGAATTGAGTACAAAACCCCCTTCTATGCTCAAAAGAAATTAGGTCGCTAACCCCAAGCTCACACTCTGATATATGTCTCCATACCTTTTGATCAATGAAGAACCAAAATCGTCGCAGGGGTTATCTCTGAGAACAGAAGTTAGTCTTACCCAAGGAAACCAGGTTCTTATAGTTCTCCAGCATCACATCTTTGTACATGATCTGCTGAGAAGAGTCCAGCAGCTTCCACTCCTCCCTGGTGAAGTTCACAAGTATATCCCTGAAGGTCACCAGTGACTACAATGTGGAACAAATCTATAATAAGCCAGAAGTAGAGCTCGGCCCTTCCCTTCTTGAGTACTGACAGAAAGAGAGATTAGGCAGGCAGCATTGGTGTAGGAAAAGAGGATGGACCAGAATTTATTTCAAAAGTGAGTAGTACTTATTTGGGTTCTGGTCAAGTCCTAAAAGGAATGGCTACTAGATACCTACTGTCCAAAAACCAGTTCCATGTTATGCTCTAGGTTTAGAAACTGTCAGAACATTTTTTTTTGTCTATTTATTTATTTTAGTGGGGAGGGGCAGAGGGAGAGAGAGAAAGAGAATCCATAAGAAGACTCCCCACTAAGCAGAGCCCAATATGGGGCTCGATCCCAGGACCCTGAGATCACAACCTGAGCCAAAACCAAGAGTTGGACACCCAAATGACTGAGTGGCACCACCCAGGCACCCCAAAAGAAGTTTTATTTAAATCAAGTTTGTTATGAACAGCTATAGCAAGGAGTATCAGACACCAAAGTTACTCTACATTTATATTCTGCAAAATAAAGAACCTAATTTAAGGCAGTAAAAAAGTCTTCAGTCCAAGTACAACTTAATGCTTAAAAGACTAATGTCAGGGCACCCAGGTGGCTCAGTAGATTCATCTTCCAACTCTTAGTTTTAGCTCAGGCATGATCTCAGGGTCATGAGACTGAGCCCCGTGTCAGGCTCCACACTCAGCGGGGCATCTGCTTCCCTCCTTCTCCCTCTCCCCCTGGCCCCCACTCACACACACATGCTCTAAAATAAATAAATCTTAAAAAAAAAAAGAGACCAACTTCACCATGTTTTCTGATCTAAAATAATTATCCAAGACATTTTTCCTAAATGATGAATGGCATTTTTTAAAAATGTAGATAATATTTTAATAGTAACAAAGTAATTTGACAAAGAAACAATAGATAAAAGAAGCAAAGCCTTCTTAGTTACATCAAACAGAGATGCTGATTACACACAGAAACACCTACTTGAATGAGGATTTTTCTTCAAAGACTACGAAGGTCAGACAAGAGTGGAATAATAATTTTTTTAATACTGAAAAAAAGAACTGTCAAGCCACTTCTATATCCAGTGAAAACATATTTCAGGAATGGATGCAAAATTCACTCTCAAATGAAGTAAAAGAATTTGTTACCAGCATACCTGCTCTAAAAGAAATACTAAAAGCAGTTATTCAAGCAAAAAGGAAATGTTACCGAAGAGAATTTAAAGAGTCCTTTAAATCTCAGGACTGAAGGATGAGCAACAAAAACAGTAAATTATCTGGGTAAATATAATGGGCTAGTTTTCTTAAGTCCTTAAAAACAGGTAGCACTGCTAAAAGCAAAAACCAAACACTTTCTGGTGGGATTTTTCAATATACCAGAGGTAATACATGCAGGCTGCTCCAGCAGAAGCTGGGCCCACACGGGACCCAGTCTCCCTGCCTGGACACTCCCAGAGGCTCCGCCGTCCTCCAAGCTCCTCATGGCTGGGCGGCAACTACCCCTGAACAAGTCTATAACTTGTGCCCGAGCTCCCCATGGAGGCCTCACATAGCCAGCTCTACAGCTAGGACAACCAGGGACCAGAGAGACCCTCAAGGCACAACATTCCCAGTTTCCACAACATTTCTGTGGGAGGAAGTATGCACTTCATTCCCTAGTGTGGATCAAAGCATTTTCTCAGAGTGCTCAATATTACCCTGCTTGACTCCTGCCCACATCACTGTTAAACCTGCACTTCTTTTTATAAAAAAGGTATATGAATAGTATGTATTTTATGAATAAAACTACATCTACAAATAAAGCAAATGAAATAGTGCTAGTCTCCCAGAGGAGAGTGCCCAAGATATAATTTCTGAAGTTCCTAGGCAAAGGAACTCCAGAACTTAAGTAAAAAGGAATTCTCAATTGGAAAACAAAGAAGGCAGAGCAACTTACATGGGACCCGGCAGGTGCTGACTCGGCTTCCATCCCCTTCTTGTTCTTGATGATGCTTTTTTGAGTAACGGAGATCCTGAGAAGAGGAAGCTGGAGAAAAGAAAGAATCATGAGGGAAGGCGGCCGTGACAGGGAGGTTTTATAAATCATCAACCTAGACTCCCTTACACCTGGCTGGGTATAATGCAATACCCACCACACAACGAGGAACATCAGAGATAGTCCAAAAATACATCTACAAAGTCCCAGGAGTATGAAATCCCCAGGAGTATGAAGAACTATATAGATTGCCATTTCCCCCCTAGTCTCTAGAGTTCCATGCAAAATCTCATTTGCAATTTAATGGTGCTGCTGCTACAAATCCTCTTTTTTGAGAAAAACAAACCAAGACACAAAACCTGCCTCAATCAAACTCCCTTACATTACAGATAAGAAAACAAGTGTTTTCTCCAGCTGACCAGAGAATGGAAGTCAGAGATTGGAAGCACAAGAAACATGTGATACGCCATTACTGGCCTGCAGGTGGATGGTGTCACAGGGCAAGGAATGGGGGCAGTCTCTGGGAGCCAAGAGCAACACCCAGCTGACAGCCAGTCCTATCATGGTCCCACAGCCACAAGCAACTGAATTCTGCCAACAGTCAGAGCCTCCAAATGAGAACCCAGGGCAGCCAACACCTTGAAAGCAGATGTTGCATATCTGAGCAGAAAACCCAGCCAGAGAGGCTCAGACTTCCACCTACAGAATTGTGAGCTAGTGAGTGAGTGCTGTTTGAAGCTACTAAGTTTGTGATAGTTTGTTACCCAGCAATAGGTATTATCATTAAACAATAAAGAAAAATATCATATATTTACCTACGTAGTTACCATTGCCACTGCTTTTCATTCTTTCCTGTAGATCCAGATTTCCACTTGGTTTCATTTCCTTTCTCCCTGAAGGCCATCTCTTAACATTTCCTGCAATGTGGGTCTGCTGATAATGAATTCTTTCAGCTTTTTAAGTCTGACAATGTCTTCATTTGCCTTTTTTTTCCCCAAACAGCTTTACTAAGATATAATTCACATACCATACAATTCATCCACTCAGAGTATACAATCCAATGGTTTTTGGCAATTAAATTATCTTTAAAATTCTAGTAAAAAATTAACTTTGCTATCTTACTGTTAAGCATACAATTCAGTGGCATTAATTACATTCACAATAGTGTACAACCATCACTAATAATTCCAGAACTTTCTCATCACCCCAATGGAAACTCTGAAACATTAACCAAACTCCCCACTCCTGGATCCTCTCAGACGCCAATAACCTATAATCTACTTTGTCTCTCTGAATTTGCCAATTCTAGAAAATGCATATAAATGGAATCATACAATGTTTGTCCTTTTGTGTCTAGCTTATGTGACTCCACATCATGTCTTCAAGGTACATCCATGCTGTAGCATGAATCAGAACTTCATTCCTTCTAATGGCCAAATAATATTCCATTGTATGGAGAGACCACATCCTGCTTGTCCCTCCATCTGCTGATGGACCCCTGGGTTGTTTCCATCTACTGGCTCTTGTGCACATGCTGCTGTGAACACTGGCATACAAGTACCAGCTTGAGTCCCTGCTTTCAATTCCTTCCAGGCTATACCTAGAAGTAGGAAGTGCTGGGTCATACGGTAATTGTATGTTTAACTTTTTGAGGACCCCACAACTGTTTTCCACAGTGGCAGTGTCACTGTGAGTTGTGATGCTGAGATCCAATTTCCCCACATGCTTGCCAAAACTTGTTATTCCATTTTTCAAATCATTATAGCCATCCTAGTTGGTGTGAAGTGGTATTTCATGGTAGTTTTGATTTACATTATTTTCATGTACTTAGTAGCATTTGCATATCCTCCTTGGAGAAATGTCTGTTCAAGTCCTTTGCCCATTTTTAAATTGGATAGTTTGTGCTTTTGTTATTGAGTTGTAGTTCTTCACATATTCTACATGTGGGCACATACGTGTATTTATGTATCTTATATACATTAAACCCTTATCAGATATATAATTTCCAAATATTTTCTCCCATTCTGTCGTCTTGACTTTGTTGTTGAAATATACTTTTGCTGAATTTAGAATTCTAAGTAGAGTTAATTTTCCTTTCAGTGCTTTACATAAATAGTTCCACTCCCAATGTTCCAGGAATTACAAGAGTTTTCCAGTCTGGCTAGTGGTAATAGGCAGTATTCCCCATGCAAATATCAGGACTATTCCCTCCAGCCCTGTAGAGGATTCTTTCCCTGGCCTTGTGGAGTTTCCTTACACATATGTGCTGCTCTGTGCTCTTGAGTACTCGTGGGAGACCCTCTGCAGACCTCTCCTCCCTGGTGGTCTGTCCTATGAACTCCAGCTGCTTTGCTCTCCCCAGATCGGATTCTCAGATCCATCCTTGACTCAGGAAGTCTGCTGGGCTCCACCTCAGTTTCACCTTCCTCTGCTGTAAACGGGAAACCCTCTCAAGGCAATAAACCGAAGCAATCAGAAGGCTTACCTCGTTGATTTTCCATCTCCCAGGGATGACTGTCCTTTGTCATCTGATGGCCAGGGTCTTAGAACAATTGTTTCATGTATTTTTTCTGTCTGTCTGTTGTTGTTGTTGCCGTTGTCCCTGTTATTCCATGTTGGCCAGAAACAGAAGTCTATAAACATTGCATTTTTAAGTTGTTTTAAATTTAGATTGTATTTTTAATTTCCACCTTTTGAATACCAAGCTTGAGTATTTCCCATGCTTGTATTTACAGTTCTTTTGAATCTGTTTTCTTTTCTATTGTTTTCCCCTTTGTCTTCTGGAGATCTTATGGATTTCCATCTCAGTTCTATGCAAATTTACATGAATAAAAGCAGTATGGCTTCTGCCCTGCCACACCACTAAAACGGTTCTCACCAATGACATCTAATACAGAGGACACTGTAGGCCCTTTGATTGTTCTTGAAGCTCTTTATTTACTTGGTTTCCTTCCTCACCTAGCTTCCCCCTGTATATCTTGGTTCTCAGTCTTCTCTCCGATTTACACAATGATGATAAACCTTAATGTAGGTTTCCCCTCGCTGCATCTCTCGGTCTCCATTTTCAAACCCCACCCCACCCCCGGGCACTTTCAGGACACACAGTATACCTACTTGTTTTATCCTCACTGTCTATCCCACTGCCAGGCACACAACAGAACTATGTTTCAGCTACAGTGAGGAGAACACTGTCTTCTATCCCAAGCTTGCTCCTCGCTGTCAAGTGTGTATTTCCAACCATGGCTAACAGCATGGATTCTGCAGCCAGCCTCCCCAGATTCCAGTTCCTGCTCCAATACTTACTAGGAAGTTTCTTAACCTTTCCTGGAACTTACTTTTCAGTGTCACATGAATAAAGGCTGAAATAACGAGGGATGTTAAACTATATAAGAAATTACTTTATGCAACCAAGAGAATGGTTTTCATGTGTCTACGGGTCCTGTGGAACAGGGATATTTATTTTGCATTATTCCAGAGGGCAGAATTAGAGGAGTAATGAGTGTAGTCACAAAAAAATCTATTACAAGTCAATATTATAATAATATGACACCTGGAAATAGATCAGGTTGTCTAACAAAGCAGGAAATTCTGGCCACCAGTAAATTTTCAATTGGATCTCACTTAAAAAACAACTACAGTACAGCCTCTACTTTATGTTAGTATCTAAGGTCCATTCCATTAACTCCCATTTAGGATTACATAAAATACAACAAGCCTGCAATTAGTATCACGTCATCTTAATTTCCCTTTACCTCCACTTTTGAAAACTTACTCAAACCTTTATCTAAACAAGTGGTTTTCAGCCCCAACTGAACACTGGAAATGCCAGGTATATTAATAAATTATGAGACCTGGGTCCCATGCCATCCTTCTCTGAGAGATGCTGACTTAAGTGTATGGGGAGTGGCCAGGCTTTGTTTCTTTTCAACAGCTCCTTGGGTGACTCAACTGTGCAGCCATGTTTGAGAATCACTGATCTAAGCCATTATTTAATCTATGCAACTATTCAAATCTATTTGAACTAGTCAATTAAATTATACCACTTCTTAGGGATAATCAGATTCTTTTTATTTAAGATTTTATTTATTTATTTGATAGAGAAAGATGGCAAGAGAGGGAATACAAGCATAGGAGTGGGAGAGGGAGAAGCAAGCTTTCTGCTGAGCAGGGAGCCCGACCTGGGACTCAATCCCAGACCCCTGGGACCACGACATGAGCTGTAGGCAGACACCTAACAACTGAGCCACCCAGGCACCCCAATTCTTTTTTTTTTTTTAAGATTTTATTTATTTTGGAGAGAAAAGCATGCACGCGTGCACGAGCAGGAGATAAGCCAAGGGAGAGGAAGAGGGAGATAATGTCCAGCAGACTCTAAGCAGAGCCCGACATGGAGCTGAATCCCAAGACCCTGAGATCATGACCTAAACTGAAATGCTTAACTGGATGTTTAACTGACTGAGCCATTCAGGCACCCTGGAATAATCAGATTCTTTTATGAGTCACCAGAAACACAAAGAATCTTTCTGTGCAACTGGCCAAAACTGATTTCTCTTAAGTAACAACTGTCACTACCATGTGGGAACACTGGGATGAGTTTTACTTGTGTTTAGGGAAACAGCTGGTAAGTTGACTACTATCTTAATGTTATAGATTTGGATCTCCTTCTGTAATTTTAATACATAATTAGTGGTCACTTACTATGTGCCTGGCTCTGTAAAAGGCCCAGGAGATAAAAACATGAATAAAGTATTTATTCTTGACATCAAGCAGCTGGGTCTAGCTGAAGACACTGAAAATGGACACCTTAGTCCACTATGATTACAGCTCTGAGCAACAGCATGCCCAAGGGGTCATGGAGCACAGAAATGCACCCAGCACCACCTGGTGGTTTCAAGGCTGGGCCCTAGACCTAATCAGATGGACAAAGAAGGGTGGGGACCTATGTAAACAAAGGCAGAGATGAAGATAATGATTTTTCTATAAGGCAGGGAGCTCAGGGCAGCTGGCATATACTGTGCCAGGCAGGGAACAGCCTGAAAGGAGCCCATAGACGCACATGATCAGACCTAGGTCACAAAAGGAAAAAAAAAGCCATTTTCAGAAAAATGCCATTTTCAGAGACTCTCTCCTACATGTTACAAACCCAGAAATGATACTAGATTTGCATCTTAAAAATGGATCCTCTGCATTTGGGGAGGTTGTGTGATGGAAGAAACAACAGCAGCAAAGGAACAAGGAAGGAAGCTAATACCATAATCCAGAGGATGGGAATACAAATTAGGGCTGTTAGGGGTAGAAATGCAGAGCAGGTAGACTTTGGAAAGATTGGTATATCCTGGAAATCAAATGGATACAGATGTGAAGATGGGTTAGGGGTTAAAGATGACTCCCAGTTTCCTGGGTGACTTAATCACCCAGTGATTAAGTGATTAATCACCAATGTATCAGGAGGAGTAGGCACTAGAGGAATGATGGGACTGGGTTTTTGTTTTGTTTTGTTTTGTTTTTAAAGAAAGGCAAACTGCCATATGCAGTGACTCATCTGGATGTGTCTGGGGTCTTGGAAACTTGACTACCCTATGTTCTCCTACAAATGGACCTTAAGAGCTTATCTGGAAGTTCTGGCATGGAGCGCAGCTTCTTGTATACCCTTCACCAAAGAATAGGCCTCCTCTATTGGGGAAGGTTGTCCTCTTTGTGAACCTGCAGCTTTGGGAGGGATGGACACAGAGCAGTGGAGGAGGAAAGGGACATCCACCTAGCTAGCCATATCAGCTAAACCAACCCTGGTGATCAAGGGCATGACAAATGTCCTCACATCCTGATGGGGTTGGGTTTTAAACTCAGAAACTGGGCCAGAGAAATGGTATTTAGGAGACATATGTAGATGTGAGGGTTATCCAGCTGTATCATCTGCCTTTCACATTTCTGTTCTATCTTTATCTATCCAAACTACTCGGCTAGTCTCCAACAAGATTTATGGGGTAGGGGGATGGTCTTATGTCATAGATTTGAGAGTGACTGTGTTCTTCCACTACGAGATAAAGGTGAAGTAGGCAGATGGACAAGAGTCTAAGTGAGATCATACATTCCTATCAACAACCCTATGACACAATTCCTATAAAGCCCAGTAAGAAACAGTAAGATTTGATAATGCTAGCTAACGGTATTATCAGATGACACCTGGCAGTATATAAGGTCAACCAAAGATAATGGGAAGAGTACAACGAACTGTAAGACCAGGATTAGATTATGGGGGAAATCAAGATTTAGGAAGCAAAGAGAAGAGAAAGAAAAGACCACGAATGAGGCAAAGACCCACTAGAGAATGAGAAGATCCAGAAAAGAGGATATCGAAAGCCAGAAGGAGAGAGAATTTCAAGGAGGGGAGACTTAAAAGAGTTCGGGTAAGTTAAAGAGCATAATGTGCAGGACTGCTCAGATTACGGTTCACTAGTGATTAGGGGAGACTGGTCTCAATACAGCAGTGGCAACAGCGGACAAATTCCACAAGAGGAATGAAAAGTTTGGAGGTGAAAAAAGAAGAAAAAGGGCGCAGCAGGAAGAGGTGCTGGGGACTGGAGAGTAGACTGAGATGAAGGAAGTAAAAGACAAGCGGGCTGGAGCCAGAGGAGAGAGGAGGGCAAGGGATAGAGTCAGAAGCTCAGATGGAGGCATCACTTGGAGGTTTATACGGCAGGAAGCTAGCAAAACCACCTCTCTCTGTGCCTTTCTTCTATAGTCACGTCTCCCCCTTGTTCCAACTGTGATGGACCCCTGTCATTATACTGGGTCCACCTGAACAATCCAGGGTAATCTCCCCCATCTTAAGGTCCTTAGTTGAATCACATCTGCAAGGTCCCTTCTGCCATATAATATTGTAATATATCCACAGATTCTGGTTCTTTGGAGAGCGATTATTCTGCCTACCATCAGGGCAGAGATGGGCTGCAAGAAGCTTCCAGTATGAACCAGAAGGCTATGAAAGAGACTATCCAGGGCATGGCTCTGACCAAGTCACTGAGTATACAGGCTTCACTACTTTCATGGCCTTGACAACATCTCAACCTTAATTTCTGCTGCACTCGCCCCATGCTCTCTGGGCCTCATTTAAATGCCACCTTTTCTGACAAGCCTTTCTGTCGTCCCAGAGAGAATGACTGTTCCCTGACCAGTAATCATGAACACTTTGGACATGCTTTTAGCACTTCAACACCCTACCTACTGTCCACCTCCCTTATAAGGAACAACTTGAGAATTGGGATAATCTCGTGCTAAATCTCAGAAAGAGACCAGCATAGTGCTTCCAACTTCATATCTGTTCCACTGGCATTTGTCCAGTACATTACAAGCACCCACAAAGGTAACGTGTCTGTTTCCCAAGGTGTCTGCCCTCCAGTCTCCATTTGAAGACCCAGTGCTTGAGTTCCAGTGCCCAGTGACAGGCAAGACCTTGTCAGGGACAGCATTTCATTCAAGTGTATGAGGTATATGTGGTTTTTTTAAGATTGATTTATTTTAGAGAGAATGAGGGAGCAGGAAGAGGGGCAGAAGGAGAGGGAGAGAACCTGTCAAGCAGACTCCTCTCTGAGTGTGGAGCCTGACTTGGGACCCTGAGAGCATGACTTGGGATCAGATCATCATGACCAGAGCTGAAATCAAGAGCTGGATGCTCAACTGACTAGCCACCCTAGCTCTAGCCACCCTAGCTCCCCTGGAGTATTTGCTTCTTAATAAAAGAGAACAGAATCTCTTTAGATTTTGAGTAAGTTCATTGGTCTTTAGCGTGTGCAAAGGGCAAGGAATGATTAGCAAAAGAACCCAGTAGCCAGAGTTAGAACTCTGGGGCCAGGAGAGATGGCAAAGACATACCTGAAGATACAAAAGGCATGAAGACTTGAAGATAAAAAAGGACCATGCAACTGCAAAAACTCAGCAAATGTATACTTTCATTTTGTGCATTATTTTAATTTTACATCAAAAGAAAAAGCTAAACAAATACTGAATTCTAGCTAATAACACATACATTTTCAAGTATTTAGGGGAATATACTGATGTGTGCAATTTACTTG